ATCCTTCCCTCTGCMCCCTCCTGCCCTCATTCAAGGGCTATTCTGTTAAGTGCCCAAGATGTGCCAGGCCTGCTGCTGGGGACAGGAAAACAAGACTGACTAGGTCCCTGCTTGTAGGGAGATTTAAGCCTAGAACCACTAATTTGGGGCTCATAAGCCAAGTTGGGCCTTCAGATTTTGTCCTAAGGCTTTCAAAATCAATTATGTGGCTGGGCCTTCCTTATGTTGATATCCTCTGGTCAAAGATCACGAGGGACACACCCCTGGTTGCAGCGAGGAAACCTCCACCATGTTCGATGTATGTGTGGGGAAAACCTGCGCCGGAAGCTATCAGCAAGCAAGGGTGACTCTGTGATTTGCATCTTAATGAACAGGATTGAGAGGGAGAAACGACCAGAAAACAGCTAAAGCGCTTAATAGGTAAAGAAGGGAGGCTTGGACAATGTTCCTGTTTTGTTTTGTTTTGTTTTGTTTTTTTCTGAACTCAGCCACAGTGGCAGAGTGGTCTTGTTCTGGTCCTGCTCCAAAATAGTCACAACATGTCTTGGTCTGATGCCGATGTTCTGTGAAACTGTTTATGTTCAACAGGAAAAGGACATGGTGGACCAGTGAGAAGCAGGCCAGCTCCTGGCCACACCTGGACCTTGCAGGGACTGGCTGCTGGCTGGTGCCGGCTGCTCTTCCCTCTTGATCAGCTGCTGGGCTGCTGCACACCTGGCCATTGCCTGACCCCTTCCGCTTTTATCATCAAGTAACTGATTCATCACACCTGTGATGAATGCACAGAGAGAAAACAGGTGAGAAACCTAACCTCAGGTGTAGGGCTGAGGGCTGGCTTCTAGGTGGAGGAAATTTCTAAACTTGAACCTGAAGAGAAGAMATCAGGCAGAAGAGGTGGGAAAGGCCGTTCCTCTGTCTGTGCTAACATTTTTCAGTTAAATCTCCTAKCCCCCTGATTGGTGAGTACAAGAGGCAACACTGACAGCTAGAAGTGTCTTCCTCGTAGGACCCCTGCAGTCTGAGAGGGGGAGAAATGGAGGCATAGTCCTGTGAGGTCCCTGCAAATGGTACAGCCAGGATTTGTGCTGAGGCAGTCTGTCTCAGAACTCCAGACTCTTTAAACTAACAGACCCTGTTGTCTTTCCATTTATTATGGACATTGAAAATGAGGCACTGAGGACTCTTGGGATTTGCCCTGGTTAGAGGGCTCCTAAGGATCTAGGCAGCCAAGATCCAAACTCAGGAACCTGGGCTGGAAGCCTGGCTCCGTGGGAGAGCACTTGCCTAGYRTGTGCCAGGCCCTGGGTTCCACCCYCAACTCTGCAAAAAAGACACAGAAAACCACCCCCTCCCTCCAAAACAAAAACCCCCAACACCTCAGGGATCTGATGACAGAGCCCCACGATTTTAAGCAGTGAACTTAGAAAAATGCATGTGGGTCGGTAGTTTTTTTGTTCACCGGCATCAACATATATTTTTATTTCTCCTAGGTGAAAGTTATTAAATCATATGTGAAACAACAGACAGCTTTCGAAGCTAGAAGGCAGAGAATCCGTTTTACTTCATATTCAACTATGGCACAGGGAGAAGTGGGAGCCAAGGGAGGAGGGGTTTGGCTGGATCAAGGACAGAGCAGTCTGGGAGCAGATGAGGATTACGGGCAATGGCTGTGCAGGGGTCAGACTGTGGCCCTGGGCAGTGAGTGACCCTGCAACCTGGCTGAGACCTGGCTCCCCCGGGAGCTTGTTAAGAATACAGATGCCTGAGTGTCTCATTCAGGAGTGAAGCCAGGCACTGGCACCTCTAACAAGCTCCCTGGGGATCCTGGTCCACAGGTAGGGGCTGGGACTGCTAGATAATGGAACCCTGAAGCCCAAACTTGAGGGAGTGGAGCCCAGAAAACCTTCTAGGGAAAAGACAGCAGCACGCTGCTTGAGTAGCTGGCCCCAGAGCAGACACAATGGGAGGAGCCGCTGAGCCAGGTGGAGAAGAGACGCAGGGTGGTGGCACTGTCCCTTCACGGATGTCTGCATCAGTGAGAGTGGTCACTGAACCCACTGACTTGGCCCTTCATGTGAACCCTTACAGCAGCCTCACAGTGGCCCATCAGGTCTTGCCCCTCTTCTGACAGATGGCAGTGAGCGAGACAGGAAGTGACCGGCCCACAGGTGAGGGCCATCGAGTGGCAGACTGGGTTCACACATGTCGCACACACATGTGCGTTACTGGGACTGGGCTTTTGAGGACAGGAAAAGCACTGACCCTTCAAGAAGAAGAACACTAGAGGAAGGGGAACACACTCACGTCCCAGGACTGAGACGGTGGGGGACAGTGGTCCTGCCTCTTCCCCACAYGCACAGTTGCTTGATTTTTTTTTTTTTCCATGAAAATGTGAAAATAAGAAGCACCTGGCTCATCTCCAAGGTGATTTCTAGCTTTCACATTTTCTTTTTKCTTGATACTGGAGATTGAACTCAGGGGCACTTGACCACGGAGCCACCTCCCCAGCCCTATTTTGAATTTTATTTAGAGACAGGGTCTCACTGAGTTGCTTAGGGCCTCACCTTTGCTGAGGCTGGCTTTGAACTCATGATCCTCCTGCCTCAGCCTCCCAAGCTGCTGGGATTACAGGTGTCCACCACCACACCACACTCGAGCTTTCACATTTTCTTGGTCACTTCCTTGAGAATGAGAATTAAGAAAACTCTGGAGAGAGTGGGGTGACCTCAAGTTTCTTTAATGAAGGTTTGTGAGGTGATTGTTTTCATGTCTTAAAAACTCACTGGAAACATTATTTTGATGTGTTAGTGCAGGCCCGTAACCCTAGAGGCTTGGGAGGCTGAGGCAGGAGGACCCCAAGTTCAAAGCCAGCCTTACCAAGTTAGTGAGGCCCTAAGCAACTCAGTGAGACCATCTCTAAGTAAAATATAAAAAAGGGTGGGATGTTGCTCAGTGGTTAAGCACTCCTGGGTTCAATCTATGGTTTAAAAAAAAAAAAAAAGAAACATTATTTTGGATTCACAAAATATTGCTAATYGCCAAAAGCTTTCAACATCACACCATCGTACAGCTCATCAGTGAAAGTTGGTTCCCCTACTTTCAAATGCTCCTCCCCTTGACTCCAGGTGATCTCTTTGGTAAACATTTAGAAAAAGCTAGAATAGCTTGTGGGCTGACTTAGCCTTGTTGATGTAATCTGTTTGGCCAACAGAGTTTTAAAATTGAGAAATTTCACATTTTTCAATTTTTTTCTGAAAAATCTAGATATTTAACCACCTGGATTCAAAGAGCTGCTGCACTTGGGGAGGAGTCCTGTGTGATCTCCTTCCCCCATGACCACAGTCCCCAAGACCACAGTCCCTGCGACATTCCAGTGCCTCCCACGCAGCCTTGCTATCTCATTCACGGCACCTGTCTCATCCCCATTCCAGAAGCTTCCCTTGAGTACAGTGCGACATGACACAAATGCAGAGTTGTTTTTTTTTTTTTGCACTAACCTCGAGAATCTTTTTATGTGTGCACACAGCCCTGGCTCCCCTTTCCCAGGCTAAGTCACATTGCACTGCGACCTCTACTCTGACTCTCACATCAGCGCCAAAGCTCCACCCTTTCTCAGTGGTACCTATTGTACCTGAGCACCCTCTTACAGGACCAATACCTGGCCTAGGCTCACGAGTCAATGCATTTAGGTAGATCATAAAACTGAGAGATTTAAGGTGGAAAATCCCAAGGATATCAAAATTGCCCAGGTTTTATGAATTTACCTCCCCAGAGCACACACTGCTGCCCCTCCCTCCCTCATCTATTTGTCCTTTGACTCTGAGGTGACCGGGTCTCGGGGCTCTTTGTTTAGGAAGGATGCTGGGTCTTCGCACACATGCTGTAATTTTTTTTTCCAGGTTGTTTGTTCATCTTTAGACTCGTTTTTCACTTTGGGAAAGCTGTGAYCTCATTTCCAATCAGATTTAGGACTCTTCCTTCTTGGGGGGTGGTCCACAACCTGCCTTCTTGGTGAAGCCCATTAATATATTTTTCAATTTGTATTTGAATGCCTTTAACTAATGCCTTCTCCATTTCCCTATAGGACCCACAGTTTTTTGTAAGTATCTCATTAATGGCTTGCTTTAAACTCTTTCTGCCTGGTTCCTTAAGACAGATTAGATAGATGATAAATCTAAGTACGGGATTATAGGTCCACGTTCGGGTGTGTATGTGTATCTCTGTGTGTATTATATTTACTTTAGTAGTTTGTTGGTTTGTTTATTTTGGTACCAGATATTGAACCCAGGGACATGTAACCACAGAGTCATATCCCAGCCCTTTTTATATTTTATTTTGAGATAGGGTCTTGCTGAGTTGCTTAGGGCCTTGCTAAGTTGCTGAGGCTGGCTTTGAACTTGGGATCTTCCTGCCTCAGCCTCCTGGGCCACTGGGATTACAGGCACGTGCCACTGTGCCCGGCTTCACTTTGTACATTTAAATTTTTGACCTGTCTGTAGTTTGTTTTGGCAGAGTGGACGCAATGGAGGGCAGGGATGGGCTTTTCTGTTTTCTTAGTCTGTAGCACAAGAAAGGGAGACACTGAAGCCTGTTTGCATATTAAAATGCAAAAAAAACCCAAAAACAATATGTTTTTCCTTCCTTCACTCAAGTAATGCAAGCTCAGGGCTTATACATGTACACCCACTGTCAAAGAAAACCACTTATTTCGCTGTGACATATTTTCTGCAAGTACCTTTTTCTTAGTATATAGTTTTGGTTTTGAAACCTGTTTTTTGTCTGTCTTGCTTAACATGTGACGTTTCTAACTGCTAACACTTACTGCTTTAACCTAGCAGCTCCCAAACCTGGCTGGGCAGCTGGCTTCCCAGTGGAGCTTGTTAAAAATAATGAATCTACCACCCCAGGGGTTGGGCCCCAGCAAGGTATTTTTAACAAGTTCCAGGAAGGTGTTTGGGAGGTGGCCAGGCCACCCCTAGCCCAGAGCCCCCCAGCCGTACCTGTGATGGTCTGGGTCTCTGAAGTGATGGTTCTGGTGGTGGTCTGAGTCTGGGTGGCAGGCACCGTTTCCTCCGATACAAACTGGACTGTGCCGGGGGCCGTTCCGGCCGCGCTGGTCAGCTGGCAGCCGCTCTGCTTGTGAGCTACAAAGGCATCTAGGTTGTTAAACTGCTGCTTGCAGATGCCGCAGATGTGGATGTCCGGGGTCAGTTCAACCAGCACRGTTGTGCTGCCTGGAACTCCATGGGACAAAGGGAGAGTCACTGATTAATTCCAAACAGCTTTAAATTACATTGCAAACCTGATTCCTGGTAGGAAAAGGGGCAGCATGGCAGACCTGGCCAGGTGCCAGGCCAATATCCTTAAACCCTTCTTCTTTCTTGCAAATAGAATCCCAGCTGTCCTAGCCACAGTTACCCAGATCCAAGGGATGGCTCAGGATGACTTGTTGCCCCGGGTGCCTTTCTGCAAGGAAGTTCTTTGATGTGTAGGGCTGCCGGTCACTTTGCAGGAAGCAGCAGCCACCTCCTATCCCAACTAAATGGTTATTATGAAAGTCACTCCTCCCACATACCCAAACAACCACCACCATAAGAACCATTAGCCAAAATAATCTTGGTCCCCTACATATTTGTTGAGCCCTTCCAGCACATAGCTGGAAGAGTTTCTGGGGAACACTTAGCATTCATGATAAAAAGGGTGCAGAAAAAATTGGCACTGTTCCCTCTTCTTTTGGCTTTCAATGTAGATGTGCAGTTGGGGCTTCTGCAGCCATCTTGTAAATATGAGGAAAATGCTAAGATTCTTATTGACTTTGGCTCTTACTTCACTAGTCCCCTAATTTGGTCCTAGAATCAACTAATCCCAGACTTCTTGTTAGGCCAGGGTACTTCAAGTTTCTGTTACTTGTAGCCAAAATTCATTCCTAAATGACAGGGGCATTGCTTCTTTACCATAGTAATACCAAGAGTTAATACTGTGTTACTATTTGCAAAGCATTTAGCAAATATTAACACAGTATTATATGGCCCTATATTAGAAAGTACTATCTAAATATTTGTTAGATAAGGTATATAATTAATGTCCCTAATATGAGAATCTCAATTTTTATTTAAAAATTTTCTTTGCATTATTATGAGAAAACTCATGTTTATAAAAGAAGATTTGGAAGAAACATAAAGAAGCATATTTTTTCCATTTGTATCTCCCATGAACATTACAAATATATTTACAATTAAAAATTGCACATGATCATGATATATTATAGAACTAATGTATTACAGAACTTCCTACATGATATTACATTAACATGGTGCTATACCATAATAATCTCTTTATAGGTATAATTACTTAATGGCAAAACATTATTCCACGGTGCCTGTGCAGTATATAATCTCTGCAAAAATAAGGTATTTACATTATTTTCACTTTCCCCAAGTTAAATAGTACAAGACTACCTTTGTGCATAGATGATTGCTATCCATGCACTATAATTTCCTGAAAATAAGATATTTACATGATGTCTAATTTTCTCCATGTCTAAGATAACAAGTCTCTGTGCAGAAACACAATTTGGCTGACTTGCTCAGGAGAGAGACTGCTGAGCATGGTGACATCAGTCATCTTGCAGAGGGCCCTATGCACTGAAGTCCTTTGAAATCAGTGGCTGGAAGGAAGGAAACAGTCTCCCTGCAGCTACTGAATCACCTGCATGGGACTAACAGGTGAACAAGGACTGGAGAAGTACAGTGACTTGCACTGCTGAGGATTCCTTAATGATGGAGCAGGGCTGATCCCCAGGATAAAGGAGTTTGAATACCAAACAATGTTGCTGGCATGTGGAAGTGCACAAGGAATGAACTAGACCGTAATTAGAATCTTGACACTCTCACTTACCAAAGTGACTTTGGACTTGGCTTTTCTACAAAATGGAGAGAAGAGATCTTTCCACTTACTAGGGTTGTTGGGAAGATTAAATGAGATGGTGTTGGTAAAAGGCCAGCACCCCCCTCTCCCCAAGCCTGTGACCTGGTGGGGTCATTACTCTTCAAACATGGACATAACTGAACCCCACTTAGGAGATACTGAGTTATAATGGTCTGGGAGTGAGGGGTTGGGGTTTAGGGAAATCTGTTCTTTTCATAAATTATGCAGAAAATACCCAGCCAAGTTTGAGAGTCAATGTCTCCCAAACTGTAACGGCTAACAAGTTGAGCACTTACTATGTGCCAGGTGTCTGCAAACCCTTGCGCCAGGCCAGGGTTCTCAAAACTTCCTGTGCTTCAGAGTCACCCAGACAGCTGGTACAGATCACTGGCCCCACCCCGAGATCAGCTGGGTGGGGCGCAGAAAGCTCCTTTTAAATACGCACTCTCGCTCCCAGGTGGTTGGTTTGAGTTCAGCCCCCSGACCACACTTTGGGAAACAAAGCATCGGGCAATATTGGGGACTTAAAAAGGTTGACGTCCTCAACAGGATAATAAAAAGGAACCCCAAACTCAAAAACAGCGACCCCAGCCCGTTTCCCATTCAAATCCCCACCTTTAATGTGGAAAAGGCTTTGCAACGCGCCGTCAAGACCTCGTGAGACTCTCCAATTCCCAGAATCCAAATTTGAGCCATCGAGGCAGAAGTTTCCCCATCAGGGTTGCCCTGGTTACCCGGGTTCCCCTCTTCCTTCCCCGAGTCCCAAACTCCGCCTGGCGGGGCGGGAATGCACCGAGAGGTGCGATTGTCTGAGCCGCACGCCCTCCCCCACGCTCCCTTCCCGGGGGTCTCGCAGCGCAGGAGGGCTCCCCCAGTCTGGCTCCAGCTTGGGCGCGCCCCCACCCCAAGCCCCGTCGGGCGCCCCCTGCACCACGCCCGCCGGCTCCCCGAGACGCGGCTCGCCGCCGTCACCCCGATTTCGGGGCCCCGGGCCTGGTGGCTGCGTCGCTGACGTGCTTGGGCCCGGGCCCCGGAGCGCGCACTGGGCCCTGGAGCGCGCACTGCGCCCGGAAAAGCACTTACTTTGCACGGAGCCGGGGAAGCTCTCGCCCTCGCCGCTCGCGTTCATGGCCGCAGATTGGGAGGTCCCCGGCCGGCTGCGGTGCCAGGGCTGGGGGCGCTGCTCTACATGGTGCAAGGACTTTTCCTTTTATTTTTTCCACACCCCCCAACCTTCCTTCTCCCAACTCTGCGAGGCGGGGAGGACGGATGTAAAGCAAGCTCCACTTCCGCTGCCTAGAGGGCGCTGGCCSGGCCGGCCGCCCCAACCTGGCTCTGCATCAGCGCTCCCCGGGGAAGCGGCGGCCCATCCCGATCCCAGGCCGCGGAAACCCCCCGGGTTCTGGGTGGCCGAGCGCGTCCGGTGTGGGCAGGCGGCCCCAGGAGGACGGGTCGCACCCCTGCGGTTCTCGCCGGACGCCGCCACCCTCCGCCTTTGCACCTGCCGCCCCGGGCGTCTGGCCCCTAGGCTGCGGTGCGGTGGCGCGGTCCCGGGACGCCCGGGTGGCTTGCGGGAGACCGCTGCAGGCTGCAGATGGGGTGGGGGCGCGGGGTGGCGGGCCTCGGAGGACCTGGCGGGACGTGGCTCTGAGGAGGCAAATCCTCAGAGCGCTAGGTGGGTCCCCTGCCCGGCTGGTAGAATCAAGAGGACCGTGACCAGGTGGATGAAGAGAGGAATGGTAACTCGGGTCTTAACGCGGAAGATCCTASTCCAGGGCCCTCCAACTTTATCGCGCTCCACAGTCGCTAGGAGGCTTGTCCTTCCAAAGCGTTTCTGATTCAGTAGGTCTGAGGGCAGGCCCGAGAACGAGCATTTCTAAGTTCCCAGGTGAGGTCCSCGATGTGGGTGGTGTCCACACTCTGAAGACACTGCGCTCCCTGATGTGTCCTCACCCGCCCGGCCTCCTCTTTTCCTACTTTCTCCTCCTGCAGCCCATTCCCTCCAGCCCGGAGCGCTGATGCTTTTCTCTTCGTTCTGCACCCACCTGCCACCTGCCACCGCCCTGACCCCTACGGGTCTTGATTCCAATCCGCAGCCTTAGGGACTCTGCCTTGTCTGGCCCTTGCTAGTACAGCAAGGCCCCTCCTCCTCGCTCCGGTGCTCCCTGTCTCAGCCCCCTTGCCCCTGTGTACTTTATCTTTCCTCTTAGAACTTGCCACTTGTCAYGTATTGTGTGTCTTAGTATCTCTGTCTTCCTATGTGTTCAGAAAGACATTCAAATAGATAYATTTCCTCCACCCCCTTACTTTTAATAAGTCCCCATGGAACTAAGGATTTAAAAAAATCTCTTTGTTTGAGGTACCCCCCAATGACTGACTTGGCCTAGTGCTTGATACATAGTCGGCCTTCAATAGATACGTCTTGTGTCRCTACTGGAACTTCCCCTGCTGCTCCTCTAAGAGTGTGCTTATCCCTCCAGCAATGACTTATTCATGTGCTCACAGTGTGCSGGGCCCTGTGCTAGGCCTGGAGGTACATCAGCCCTCCAGACAGATGTACTGCCTGTCTGAAGATCAGGGCGGCAGTCTACTGAAGTCCACTCCTGTAGCATTTTGGTTATTGACAGAAAAATTCCTACTGCCCAGGGACTTCGAAACTGCTCATCCTCATGTGTCCTGTGTAAATAAACATACTGGCTGACAGTTGTATCAAAATATTACACATACAATTAGGGAAATTAAACAGGGTTTGTTTTTTTTTCAGTGCCAGGGATCAAACCAGAGTCTTGCACATGCCAGGCAAACACTCTATCACTGAGCTACACTCCAGCCTCACACATACAATTATATACAGTATCTAATACTTGATAAAAATAAGAAAAATTATGTTAATGGTTTGTGTAGTATTCTTTTTACTGTCATTTTAGGGTGTCCTCTTTCTACTTCTTAAATAAAGTTTACCGAAAAACAGTCCCCCCCCCCCCCCCCCCCCCCCCGTGCGTGTGCAGCCTCACTGTCCTGGTAAGCTGCATCCCATGGTTGACTTCTACCACCTAAGTGTGTGTGAGAATACTCTATGACAGTCACTTGATGACAAAATTGTCTAATCAAATCCTTTTCAGGACACATCCCTGTTCTTAAGTAACACATGACTGTAATCCAAACAGCAGTGCCATTTCTTGATTGTGATAAGATCTCCAAAGATCATAAAATAGGGTTATGCTAGAGCTGCGGGCTGGTGAGGAAGGCCTTCCAGAACAGGCCCTGTTTGCATAAAGAGCTGGGAAGGAGGCAGCAAGTGAGGAAGGGTGTGGCAATTCTAGCCCCAGGAACTGTGGGGGTGAGATCCCTGAGGCTGGCAAGAACTGGCTGTAACTTGTTGCCTAAGGTCCTACTGTGAAACTCACCTCCGCCCCCCTGCATTGCTCAGGCAGCTCGGTAGCCTTGCTATTGCTGGAAAAGCCCAGGTCTTCCTAAACTAGGCCACGGCAAGGGGGCAGAGTCAAAGGCAATGTCACTTTCCTGAGAGTCCTTTCCCTTATCTGGCCTGCCATCTTGAAGAGTCCTTTCCCTTATCTGAAGATGTTCTTTCCTGGGACTCTCCACAGAGCCTTTCTTACAGTATCTAACTAAGATGGCCAAGCTATTAAATTATTTCCTTGCTTAAATAATGTCTGGCAGGAGACTTCCAGATGTTTTCTTAAATTATTAAGAGAATACAGCATTTTTTTCCCCTAGCAATGTCTATAGTAACAAAAATAATGAGGACATAACTGACTGAGTTAACTATCATAAGTTTTATGAGCAAAGATATCCTTAATAAAATAGTCTATCAAGAGACCAATGTTTTTTTCCATGATAAACATGTTAACAAATGCACTTTCCCGCAGCAATCATTCATTGTTCACTAAAAAAGTTCTCAMGGCAAGAAATCTTGCTTATTTTTTTGCTTGGTTTACAAATCTACAACCTTGCCTGGTGTGTAGGAAGGCAGGGATGGGTGAATGGAAGATGGAATACTGAGGTTGCTTTGGAAGATACTAAAAATGCAAATCTTTGTTCAGGAAAGTGTTTCCCTTTTCAGTAAAAACACAGACAAAAATGTGATATGATGTYAGAATATAGAAAAATTATAGATTCCATTTAACTTTGATGAAAYTGTTATTTTTAAACTTCCCTTACTTTTCTAGACAAAGGTTAGCAATGATGACTAACTTAGGGCTTTACATTTGCAAAAGTACTGGTGTCTACAGCCTCTCTACTCAAAACATATTATGGGAAATGATAATCAAGGCTGACGGGTCCCAGGTCTGTTGGCCCTCTGCTCAGCTCGACATATTGGGGAAGCCTGAYCTTGTTTCTTTTCCAGGCTTCTGGGACGTCTAGCTTCCTTTTAGGTCTGGTTAATGGATAGAAGGAAGAAGCCAGATATTCCCCACCTGTCCCCTCCGTATTTTAGTGGCAGTGGCTCTGTCTCTTCCCTAGCTCCAGATCCCACAGAAGGGACCTAATGGCCTCATCTTCTGCCAGTGACTGGTCCCTGATGTGTATGTTTGAAAACACCCCCTTCCCTTTGCTCTCCCTATCCCACCCCAGGGTGAGGGAAGACAGTGGCTTCCAGGTGTTCTAATCATCCCACTTGGCTTCTCAGCTTTCACCACCTGGCATCAAGTTCCCTGCGTTACCTTTGCTGAAATCCCCCAGTTGCTTCTTTTGCTCTGTTCAGACCCTGACTGACACAGTTGGATTAAGCTGTATGGAGTATGTGATTTTGTTCTGGCTTTCTTGACCTCTCTGTAGGTGCTCTAACCTAGAGAGCGCTTCAGACGCTCTGAGGGAACTTGTTGAAGCCCACGTGCTAGGGCACCACCCAGATGTGCTGGAACACCCAGATGTACTGTGGTCCAGGCCTGCAGGGTGGAGACACACCTCAGGTGACTCTATGGGCTCCTGACTTTTTTGAATCCTGATCTGAAATCTTGGAAGGGGACCAGGGGGAATTTCTTTTGCAAAATGGATTCACTAACAATGTTTAGCAACTGCCCGCAATCCTTTAGTAAATGTCCATGAAGAAACACTCAAAATAAACACCAAACCCTCTGTAATGGGATATGATCAAGACTGAACCTGTTGGGCAACAAATGGAGGGTACACAACTAATTATTTRGATGAGAGTTGACTTGGAATCTGGCCTGGCTCCTCACTGAGGTGGCACACCTGTGATTTAATATTATACTCGCTCATTTAACTTCATATGAACCAGCATGCACAGGCCTGATTTTTTTCTTTTATATAATTAATGCATAAGCATGGAAACACCCAAGTGATATAAAGGGTCGGTGAAGAGTGGGTGCCTCCCCAGCCTTTCCCTTTCAGAAAACAACCACTACAACCAGTTTACTGGGTGTTCTCTAAAAAAAATTCTTACCCATATAAAAATGGCAGATGCATATTCTTCCCTTCTTCTTAAACACTTCCCTGGAATGCAATCAGCCTTCCACACCTCGCTTTCTTGCATACGAATGTATTTTGGAAAATACTCCTTACAAGTGCACCTAGATTTGCCTTCTGGATTTAGGAAGGGTCTAGCTTTCTGCTATATATAAAACATATATCAATGTTTACTTAGGCAACCCTCACTAGGGAACACTCAGTTTCTAGTTTTTTACTACTACAAATCCAGGTGCCATTAATATCTAGATTTATATCTGAATCAAATCTGTACCTGAGAGTATATCTGCATACTAATTTCCTAAAGAAGGATGGCTGGTCAAATCTTGGTGATTTATTCTTAGAGGCTCTTTATTCATCCAAATTCCCAGTCCATTCCAAAAGTATCCCTATTGCAGTTGTTTTGATAATCCTGATTTTCATTAAAATGTCCTGGGAAGTATTTTAGTCAGGGCCAAGCTGGCAACTAAAATCAAAAGTATCCAAATGGGGGGCTGAAAGTCTAGAATCTTCTATCTTATTCTCAGTAGTCTGAGATCTGTGTTTCTGTCAGCAGGAGGGTCTCTCTCAAGGGCCTGGACCCCTTTTGCGTGTGCCTCTCCTTTCCCCCAGGCTGGGCCTGGGAAGGCCACTCCCTTCCTGCATTGACTTCCAGCCCCTGGCAGAGTCCAGTCAGGAGGTCCTGCTGCACGCAAGGGGGTGGGGCTGGGAAACAACTCTATAGTGGGGTGGGGGACATTTTGATGGACAGGTGGTTCTGATGGTTGTCTCGTCGTGGAAAGGGCTCTCTAACGCAGATGATAT